CCCCCCCCCCCCCCCCAACTACATTGTCACCCAGAAAACAACAAGGATTCGGTCAGGTTATCATTATCACGCAGCGTGATACCCAGTAAAAGGAAGCGCAAGCTGGAAACTGCTATGGAGAAGGGGAGGCGAACTGAACTATGTTCTGAAGTTCGCTAAATGGCATCAGGAAGGCGTAGACATATTTAACTAGGAAGTCAAATCACACAATTTCAAAAATTGATCAGGGGCTGGGGCAACATTTGAGGAAAAACACAAGAATATCGCCGAAAATTATTGAGAAGAGAAGCGCGAAGAGGTAAAGCGGTGCTAGGAAACAGACGCAACGACAAAGTAGTGCATATGGAAGATGATCGACGAAAATTGAAACAATAACTGAATACTTAAATGAAAGTATTCGATAGCGTCTCGACGGAATAGCAAGAATCTGCCGTTGGATGTGTGCAGACTCTAATTAATCTCTAGACAAAAGACGAGTAGTAAGGATGAGGGTTATACGAGATCATAACATTGCTACTCGTCTTTTGTCTAGAGATTTGCAGGTGTACTAGGGCAATGGTAGTGAATCATAACTTTCATGTTCGGTCTTCTTGAAAGGTGTGTATAACGTAAATTCTTATACCTCTCTGCCACACAAGTTGACTATGGTGAATACGCATTACTTGATCGGCATTCAGAAGAATCGTCGCTCTTGGAGACGATCAGTATTGTTTTATAGCAACTTTCTGTAGGCCTTTTGAAACAACCTAGGCGTAACTGGACAAATAACTAATTGAAAGTGTAACTTAATTCTAATTTTAGCGGCGAAGCTAAGGCGCGGTATGACGTACTGCCGTGACAGAATAGTCAATTTTTGAAGGTACCGCGGCTGCGTTAAGTGGAGTCAACAAAGAGGAAGCCCAAACAAAAACGGTGGTAGCGAAGGGAGTGTTGAGGCGTTTACGAAATTTAGAGACACAGACTGTCACGCTCAACAATGTGGATGTGTATGACGATTGAATTCAGCAGTTGTACAAATCGTAGGCCAGAGAGAGGCTGATTCCTGAAAGCATTGAAGTAGGAGGAAATTCGGATCATGCAGTCATCTACAGTGGTTTATGGATACGTTCACACCACTATTTCATGATGGTCCTAGCAGACTCAAGAACCCGCAGATCACCTATGGCCGTCTGAAACTGTTCATAATCCAGCATGCTCTGGCCACCACTCGACAGAGTTTTCTGGATTTTTGCATTTCGAATCGCGAATGTTGTATCTGGAATCGAATAAGGTGCCGGAGTCGATGCAGAAGTCGATTACGTTCTGGTTATGCTGTCGGAGCATTAAGGAGACTGGAATTTAGAAATGAGCACCATGAACGCACTTTTAGTGACGGTGAGTTTTGTACACTAGTGACGAGTGATGAGTCGGTAATGTCCGCTAGCGCGTGCAACCCATTACCAAGTGATTCGTATTTGTCGGTGAGACCAATATGAACAGTATCGGTAGACTTCAAAACGAAAGATGAAAAATTCTCCTTGCCTCAAAAAATTAGCAGTATTATTACATGAACTAATGGTTATTTCTACATTCTATCACATTCGAAACTATTATATCACTCGAAACATAGTTTTCTGTCCAATATACATATGTATACACAAAGAACCTAGCGTTTTCATAATGGTTTCCCTACTGCTCCTTACTCGAATTCGATGGATTTAAAACTCTATTAAAATACTCTACGAAAGCGCTGCCTGATATTCAATACTGATAACAGAGAAGAATCTATTGGTGAAGAACTCATCATCATCCTGACACGAGACAAGAACACTAAATGGCTCTGAGTTCATAACCATCGCGCAATTCAAATACTTTTGACAAACTGCTCAAAAAAGACGCTAGCGAGGCTATCCCACAGCCAGTTTGTTCGATTGCGAAATTGTCAAGCTCACCATTATAGGCATTGGATTGCGCAGCAGATTGTTTCGAAGACCTTCGAGCCTGAATGCGGACTGACTCACGTCTCACCGCTTCTAGTTGATCCTGCAATAGTTTCATCTTATTCATGACCACCGATCGGGTCTCCCGGCGAACGCCGGGCTCTCCCTCTTCTTGTGTAAAGTTGGCTGGCCGCTTACACTCTTTCCGAATTCGGACGCTCCGGTACAGGAGAATAGGAGTAATAAATTTCCGGTCAAACACACACACATACACATTCACTTCGTGAGCGCGTTGCCCGTCATGCGCGGGATCCTGCTCTGTTATCAGCATCCCCGTATTCCGCCTGCACCCCTATCAAATATGAGCAATCTGAGCGAAGTTTATTCGTACCACCTATTGGCAGCATTCCCATGTTGCCGCCTAGCAAGTATGAACGATCTAGGTCCAGTTCAAAAGTTTTCGCGCACATCCCGCTTTTCATTGAAGGTCCCACAGTGTTTCCATTCTGCCACTTTCCTACCGAAGGTTAATGCTCTATGTCCACGGGAACAGGGCTTATAAGTTTCCAGTTAAAGATACACCGACACATACACATCAACACACAATAAGTAGTGAGTAGCAGCCACTTATCATGTAGTACAAATCGAACCTGGTCACAATCGGTTGCCATTATGATTACTGTGACAGAAACATTCCCTCCACATGACTTCATCCTCCTCAGAGTTAAAACACTATACTCACTAAAGGGAACAGAGTCGCCACTTATCGGTCAATTCCACAACAGACAAGTTTAACAAATCGGTGCATCGGCCACCATCCCCACGGCGTATATATCATCACCCGTGACTCTCCCATGTCGAGAAGGAGCAAAGCTGTGAATTAACGGTGCATGATTTGGAAAGTTTTGGAACAGGATCACCGGCTTTTACGCTCAACTCGTAGTCTAGTCTAGTCTCCTGTCCTATCCTTACTAGATTTGAATGCTCTAGTTTCAAGCAGCAATTTTTTGCACGTGCCATCTCCAGTAAACGGTGTCCGGACTCGTCACTTGGCCATCAACGTTCCCATCCGTTCCGTCCTTCCTAGATTTGCAAGCTCTACTCTAAATCAGCAATTTTCGTGCATGCCTATCCCGGAATAAGCGGACTCTCATCCTGCTACCTACCCTCAGGGTTCTCATCCTGCCGCCTATACTACTACTAAGTTAAGTGCTTCAGGAACACGGAGCAGGAATTATTTAGTTTCGTTAGAACCACTGTTATCGCACGCCGCACCCTGCGTGGGTGGAGCCTAGCTCAGATCAAGTGTTCCTAAGTAGCTCCAATTATTCTCACTTTTTTCATCATCTAATCGGGCTAATCCATTCCACTTTCATTCCAGGAAGGCACCACACGAGATGGTGATAGATAGATCAAGAGAGAAAGAGGTCAACAGCTGCCCGGTGGTGGAAGGCCCTCCTTTTTGAAGGTTTGAGAGCATCTCTTAATAAGCGTCTGAACCACTTTTCCCGCACTGTAAAACTGGTTTGGACAGAGTCGTCAGTTTTTGATCTTAAACTTTACCACTGCGTTGCAAACCTCTCCCCCCCCCCCCCCCC